ACCACGGAGGTTTTTTTTCTGTTTTGTTAGTCTACAAATGCAAGAAGCGGCAGGGGTTCATTTCGCTTAGACCATTAGAAATTTTTTCTGAAGATCATTGTCTTCCCCGATGTGAAGTCGTGTAGTCTGGTGGATGTTACCGACTTTTGGAGAAAAGGAAAACAGTTGTAAATACAAGTTTCTTAGGATAGTTTCACTCTTCTGCTCTTAAGATGGAAACAGCATGTTCCTTCGAAACGTCGATAAACATTTACTAGACTACACGACATCACATTTCAAAAGTCGATAATCTTCATAAAAGCTGCCATGAGACCCCTCGCTCTCACAGGGTTTTCCCGCTCACTATCGTATCCAGAACAAACCTGCGCTTTACCAAGTGACCGCCGGGGGTTCTCTTCCAGGCAATGAAGACGCTCGAATCGCAAACTTCACCATTCAGTTTCATTTGGCGTTAAGTTCCCGCTGTATACTTAATGATCGGCGTCAAGTGACCGCCTCTATGGTCTAGTGGTCAGAGTTCATGGCTACAGATCCAGAGGTCCGGGTTCCATTCCCAGTGCTACCAGATTTTCTACGAAATAGAGGGTCTGAAACGGGGTCCACTCAACCTCGTGAGGATCATTGAGGGGCTATTTCAAGGAAACAGCGGCTCCGGTCTAGGAAACAGAAATTAACGGCCGTGGGGATTGGTTGCGCTGACCACGCGACACCTCCCATCCGCTAAAGTTGGCACTAACTTCGCCGACAAGCGGTGGTCGCTGGGACGGTATAGTCCACTTGCGAACTAAAGCCACGGAGTTTGTTTTTTGTTTGTCGGCGTCAAGTATGGATTATATGACTTCAGCTTTAACAACATTTAATCATACTGCTTTGTGTTTAATGAAGTTCAATCCGAAATAATTCAATTTTCCTGTTTTGTATTATACTAGTATATAAAAGTAACATAAAGAGAGGCGTGTTTCCTCTGTGCCTAAGTTCTGCATATATTCCCATGTTCTGACCTATTCGACAGGGGCGATAGCTCTGCAACATCTGTTCTCAGAGGCTTCTATTACCCGATCCATACGAGACATCAGACATGTGTTATTATTACGCAGTTCTCCGTAGGGTTGAAAAGCCCCTGCGAGAGACTGCATTTGGAGAACAAATAACCTCACCGCTGTTGAATGCTGATGTGATGACTGTGAACTCTAACACACCACACACAGTTCGTACTGTGGTGTGTAATTCAGCAAACACGTTATCTATTACTTTCATAGCAATAGAGATGTCGCAACGGGGGCACGCGGTGGCATAGTTGGTTGAGGCACTATGCTACATGCCAGAAGATCGCCGGTTCGAGTCCCGACGAGATGTTCTTTTCAATTAACCTAATCCTAGCCGCATTATAGCCTTGGGGTCGACTCAGCCTCTAACAGAAATGAGTACCGGGAATATGCCTGGGGGGTAAAGGGCGGCCGGTGCGTAGGGCTGACAACCTTACCGCCATCTGTGAGTCGATTGTCTAGATCAGGGGTCTGCAAACTTTTCGAACCGCGGGCCACATTAGGTAATTCAGCACTTTCAACGGGCCAGATAAAATGAGAAATTAATAACTCTAGGTATATGAGTTTTATTGAAAGCACAGGATTTCATAAACTAAATACAAAGTACGTGAGAATAAATTATCGTATATTAATGACAACAGACAGTAGCAGCAAATGCTCATATTTTCATCACAAATTATAATAAAACAATTAATATGAATGATGGAACTCTTTTTGCATTCTTAAAATCTGATTAAATTGTGGTTCAAATTTTGAAATGATAATCACAAGTAGCGACTTTATATGTTCATCGGATAAATTTGCGCTGTATTTCGACTTGATGTACTTCATCTGGAAAAAAGTTTGTTCACACAGATAAATGGAGATAAACTCACAAGCAAATTTCTTTAAAATATTATATTTCAGCATCCTGTTACACTCACACAATATATACGGATAAATACCGTCTTAAGTGCAACAAATTTTATTGTAGTTTTTACTTCTTTTCCTCCTCCACACTACATGTTTCGGCCCTAGATGGCCATCATCAGGTGTGTATCACTCACGTAGCTGTTACACTGCTTGTTAAAATTTAAAATTACCAGTCTTTCTAATTGTATAAAATCTTTGTTAATCTACACGCATCGATTTGATTTTTAAATTAGCACTTTTTAAAACTTAATTCAAGTTAAAATGTCTATAAGATCTCTGTTCTTTCTTTTTCAAATTTTTAGTTAAAATTTTTTTCAGGGTACATGCCCTATATCTACGGTGCTGCAGCGGCCACTTCTTGTTTTTATCGTTGTTCATGTGTTGTTCAGTGTAGGCGCTCTCTGTGTGTGTCGCTGCTTATCTTTAATTTCTTTAAATTTGGAAATTGCTCAGAGTTCAGAAATTTATAAAATTCGATGAAATTTCTTTCCCTGTATTTGTCTTTAATATATGATAATTTTCCTGAAGTTCAATAATTTCCATTTGAATTTGACTTGGGACATCTGCAGCATCACAGTCAAACGGATTTTGAAACAATCTAATTTCCTGAGCACTGGCATCCAAATCAGCAAAACGCTTCCGAAATTGTTCGTTCAAATCTGAAATGACTAAATTTGCACACGAGGAAGGAAATTCTGCTTCACCCTTTTTATGCAACTCTGCACAGTATAGCATATGAACAAAGTTACAATTTTTCACTTGGCTTTCCAGAAGTATCAACTTTGCTCTGAATGCCTTGATAAGTGCAAATAAATCACAGACTAAGTTATTTTCACCCTGCAACTTTAAATTCAAATGGTTCATATGGTTCACCAGATCAGCAAAAAATGCTAATTTCCTAAGCCACTCGGTATCTGATAAAAGTGGTTCGTGATGGTTTTTCTCGGTAATAAATATATCAATTTCATTCCTGAGCTGAAAGAAGCGCGAAAGAACCTTTCCACAGCTAAGCCATCGAACTGCAGTACAATATGTCAGGTCAATAAGCTCGGAATCACATTTACCAGTACTCATGTGAAAATTAGTTCAATTGGCGCATTTCTGCACAATTCTTTCGCGTGCCGGATGTGACCCGCGGGCCGTAGTTTGGAGACCCTTGGTCTAGATAATGTGGAACCCCCATTGTCTCACAACCTTGTGGGCCTCCACGGCCTGTTACAGGGATACTGATTGTACAGACCTACTATAAATGATTCATTTGTTTTTAAAACGCTATATTTTCCAAAGCATTATACATACAAATATGATTGATATATAAAAAGAATCGTAAACTCACAAAGTTTTCTTATACTCTACAAATGTTCTATGTGTGCACCTTGGGTCACACGACACACGTCCAGGCGGTAGTCGAGCTCGTTCCACACATTTTGTAGCATCATCCTGTCAATGGTCATCACTGCAGTATCGATGCGTTCCCTCAGCTCAACTAGTGTTCTTGGCAGTGGGGGTACGTAAACACGATCCTTAATGTGCCCCCAAAGGAAGAAGTCAGAAGGGGTTAGATCAGGTGATCTGGGGGACCAAGTGAACAGAGCTACGTCATCCTCACCAATTTGCCCAATCCAGTGATGCCGAAGTTCATCGTTTAGGTAGCGACGAAAATTGCCGATACCACCGCAAAATGCTTTGTTTACATGGCGGTTCTTTTCCGTACTCTCTTTTGAATGCGCGTTGCACTGCTATAACAAACGAACATCTCGCATATTCCAACAAACAAAAACTCTTTTCTTGCTTTGTCGCCATTTTGTAAAGGCACTGAATTGGTGCTGCCAACTGGCGCAAATAATACACACTTGGTGAGTTTACCGTTCTTTTTATATATAAATCATATTTGTATGTGTAATGCTTTGGAAAATATAGCGTTTTAAAAAAGAATTAATCATTTATAGTAGCCCTGTATATACAACAAAATAATCTGTTTTCAAGTGAAGCTCTTAATTCGTTCAAACTGAGATGAGAAAGCAGTTTGTTGTGGAACGATTTCTATAAAAGTAGAAGTAAAGCGATTCCTGTACCAGGCCGTGAAGGCCCATAGGGTTGTGAGACGCTGAGGCTCCCACACTATCTAGACAATTGGCTCAAAGGTCGCGGTAAGGTTGTCAGCCCTACGCGCCGGCCGCCCTTTACTCCCCAGGAAAATTATTTAATTAATTCCTGGTACTCATTTCTGTTAGAGGCTGAGTAAACCCCAGGGCCTAGTGTGGCTGGGCTGGAAGGATTAGGTTTTGACAGACTCCTAGTTCTGCGTACTATATTTATTTCTTCATTGATCGCGATCTTCTGATGTTTTAACGACTGATGTATTCTTGACGACCGCCCCTGTGGTATAGCGGTCACGGTTCCTGCCTACAGATCCAGAGATCTCGGGTTCGATTCCCGGCGCCACCAGATTTTCTGAGAAGTAGTGGGAGTGGAACGCGGTCCACTCAGCCTCATGAGGATAACTGAGGAGCTATTTCAAGGACATAGCGGCTCCGGTCTGCAAAACCGAAATTAACGGCCATGGGTATCCATTGCAATGACCACATGACAACCTCTATCCGCAAAAGTTGGAAATTTGAAGAAATATCGGAAGAAACAAGCGGCGGTCGCTCCGTCGGTGTAGTTCCCATGCGGTCTACAGGCCACGGCATTTTGTTTGTTTGTTTTTGTTTGATGTATTCTTGATTATTTTCAAAATTTCCTCTTTTATAAAAATCGTCAAAGTGACTTCAACTCGATCAACAGGACATAAAATCATCTTGCACGGAACACACCCCTTTCCTTTGATCCAGTCATAAATATGACTTATGTTTCTCGGAATATAATGAGTACTTTAACTGAGTCAATCCTCCTTACGCTTGCTTGGGACGCTCAGGCTTAAATCGATCCCATTAAAATTTGACTTGGATGCTGTGGGTTATTTGAATCGATCAATTCGCCTTGTAAGTGCACGGATTACAGAGGCTGGATTCAGTCACTCAGACAATTAAACCAACTTACTCTTGTTCGGGACACAGTGGTTCTCTCAGACGGGTCCGTAGCAACCTTCCCAGTCGCACCATGCGGCCTACCTCCAGCAACAGGCGCTCTCTGCTGGTCAGAAACTTATGCAGCCTAGAGGAGCCCTGGAACAGCGCCTTCACTGACTCCATCAGCTCTCTCAGTTGGCTGCAGTGCTGCCACAACAAAGTTAAACTAGTCATAAAAACACAATCTGTGTTCTGACACCAAATATCTTAACCATACCGATCAGAATAAGAATTTTACGACAAGATGCTACACCCGAAATAATCAGAACTTGTATTCTTAACTGAAATTAATACATCACGGAACATTCTCTAAAACTTACACTTGCGTACTTATTTCGTATTCGACCTACTTAGTATTATTTACGAGGGAGAGTCAGTAAATAGGTCACAAATGGAAGCAAAACAGCTCTAATGAATGTAATAGGTTTTCTATGTGTATCACTAGGTAGCAGCACAGTCCGGCTTCATGAGTCTAAGTAACATATGTGCATGTGCATTTTCAGAGGCTGGTTTCAGTGGTCCTAATGGCGACCGTGCTTGAGTTGTATACTACTGAAGAGCAGCGTTCTGTTGTGCGTCTTTTTTTGGGGCAAGAGGCCTCAATGCAAAGGATATTCATAAAGAAATATTTCTTGTTTATGGTGAGAAGTATTTCTAGCGTAAAGCTGTTCTCACGTGGACCGAGAAATTCTCTCAAGGTCATTAGAAAGCAGCATGTGACACGCACCGTGGGTGTCCAGAGAACTGAAGGATCGAAAAATAACGAATGAGTCTGTCCTTACAACATCTTTTACGGTATGCAGATGAATGAGAAGATATGCTTAACAGGATTGTTACTGGGGACGAATCGTGGGAACATCACTACTCGTACCAACCCAAAATAAAGAGCGCTTCAATGCAGTGGAAACATCCCAGTTCACTTTCAGCCAAAGAGATTAAGGTTACGCCATCAGCTTGGAAAATTATTCTTACCTTCTTTTGGGATTCTCGGGGAGAACTGTGAGCTCATTTTCAGAAGCATGGTGAAAATGTGAGTTCTGCATCGTACTGTGAAGCTGTGTTGAAGTTTCGCTGTTCGCAGAAATCGTCCAGGTCAACTGGCAAGAGGAGTACTCCTTCATCAGGACAATGCCGGACCCCATACAGCTCAAGAAACGCGGGGGAGAATTAAAAAATTACAGTGGGAAATTGTTGAACATTCGTCTTGGCCCCTAATGACTTCCATCTGTTTGGTCCGCTAAATAACCACCTTGATGACAAACGTTTCGCTGGTAACGAAGAGGTTGAAACGGAGGTGCGGAAGTGCCTGAGACAACAGACAAAAGACTTTTGCGCTGCGGGTTTCGACGCACTGGTAAAGCGATGGGACATGTGTATCAACGTTTGTGGAGGATATATCGAGATATAAATGATTTTCCAGTTTCGAATATCACATGTTTTACGTTTTATATCAATTTGTGACCTATTTGCTGACTCTCTCTCGTAGTATACCCTATACATTTATTATATTATATGCAACTACTTGATATCAAGTCTACTGCGGTCTTTAAGCAATTACTCTATGGGCTGATCCCCAGTAGGGTTCTTGTAATTCTTGCTTTGTGTTACGATTCTATACTCTTCATATTGTTCTCATATTCACTGATTTATTCACACGTTTCAGTGTACAGTTAGTGGTATTATTATTTTTATTACTCTTAATGGAATAAGACTGAGTCCACTTGGTACTGCGGCCACTAATGGCCTATTGTACTAGCCCCAGATGATAGGTGAGGGTGATTGTGGAGCAATTGGTGGAATGAAGATTGGCAGGGGAAACCGAAGTACTCGGAGAAAACCTGCCCCAGCGCCTCTTTGTCCGCCACACATCCCACATGACCTAGCCCGGGCTCGAATCCGGGCTGATGCGGTGGGAAGCCAGCGAGTAACCGCCTGAGCTATGGTGCGGCCTCCAATAAGTGGCGTCACAACTCTGAGGGTATTAGGCCAATAAACGTCCATACTATTGTTACTGACCCATAAGTAACAGAAAGTAAATGACACTAACACATGAAAGGATAATATTGAGCGAGCTTTAGGGGAGCTAATGTGTTGAGATCAGGTGATGATGGCACCAAGTGGCGGCACGTGGCCCACTTATTAGACGCTGCTCTATTACGCTTGTGTTAGACTGAACTGTATAACAGCATTTGAGCTGCAGCAATTAACACCATTAGAGAGGCGACTTTGGCTTTTCAGTTCGCAAGAGGCGCTTAAACGGTAAAATTCTCACGAACAGGCCGCAAATATGGAGTGACCGAAACCAAGGAGCATTCAACTCCCTCTAGCATTTAGTATTTCTATCTGGTAGAAACTGAAGTCTCTTAATAAAGGTGTTTAATTACTGATTGATTTTTATTTCCTAACGACGCTGTTTCACTGAAGTAATTAAGACCATGAAGCTGGGTCCTTCTTTGGAAATAACCAGTTGCTAAGCTACTGAAGAAATTTCTTATCATTTTACGGAACCAAGTGGTTCATTGCCGTGCTCACAAGAGCTAGCCAGAATCAGGTGAATCCAGTCCGCACCGCCCCATCCCACTTCCTTCAGATCAGTTTTAATATCATCCTCTCATCTGTGCCCAAATCTTTCTAGCGGTCTGTTCCCCCAGGGGTTCCTACCAAAACTTCGTACGAACTTGTCCCTTGTGGGCTACATGCCTTGCCAATCTCATCTAAATTGATATTACAATTCTAATAGTATCTGGCGATTACAACTTAGGTAGCTCTTCACTGAGCGTCTCTCTCCAGCCTCCAATTTCTTAACCCTTCATAGGTCCGAATATTCTCCTCAGCGGGTTGTTCTCAATCACCCTCAGTCTATGTCCTTTCCTTAACGTCAAACCAAGTTTCGCACTCATACAACATTATAAGGGACACAAAATTCCGAACCAAATGGTACCAACATTTCCCGAACATAATCTGTTTTTGAAGAAAGCAGTCTTCTGGGATTTGGCACCGTGTATATGTGGTGTTAACCGACGTTTCGGAGGAACGTATCGCCTCCATCTTCAGGGTAGAAGAAAAAGTATAAGAAATCTGCAAGCGACAAGACCGTGAGAACGGTAAAAGCAGTCTGAAGATGGAGGCGATACGTTCCTCCGAAACGTCGGTTAACACCACATATACACGGTGCCAAATCCCAGAAGACTGCTTTCTTCATAGTCACCGCCGTGAAAGCCTCAAATCTTACATAATCTGTTTTTAATTGCACCATGAATGTAATTCTGAGTGTTTCACTGATCTGCAGAGGCCACACTGTAACAGGCCTAACTGATCGGAGTCGGTGTAGCCTATTTCAAGGCACGGCCTCGGAACTCACATGGAGAGACAGAGGGAGACAACAGAATCTTCAGCCAGTGTATCCGGTAGCCCTTCTAAAACTCACATAAGGTACCTTCCATACACTGACCAATTCTAGAGATTTGCGGCTACATAAGCCCGTTTGGTCCCAAAAGCAGTGGACTTTTGTATGGTGTGAAGCATTCATGTCCTTCCTTACTTACTGCATGATGCTGAAGGCCTAACCACTGCTAAACAAGAAGTTGGAATGGTTATGAATGATGAACTGTGAGAAAGAAAACGAAAACCTGTAACAATCCAGTTCGTACTCTAAGCGGCGAATATATCGAACTTTTTTTTTCCTTTGGCGCTACAGCCCCAATTTGGGCCTTGGCCTACCTCCATGAAACTCTCCGTTTCACTTCGGTTTACTAGATCTTGGACAGCCGGCAGGAGTCCTTGGGTGGGTGATCAGCTCGTCGCAAGGCCTCTACGTGCATACAAAGACAGAAAAACGCGCGCACGCACACACATTAAACATCCATGCCCTAAGTGGGATTCGAACCCACGATCCCGGTTTCCGAGTGCATACCGAGACAGTGCATACCTTAGACCGCTCGACTGCCGTGGCCATATACTGAACTTACATATCAATATTTGCACTTCGTGGATATTATGACCACTGACATCATCCGTGACGTAGGTGTTTCTGCCAGACGTTTTTTTTCTGCTTACTACAGGTATATGAGGGTCAGATGCAACTACTGTCTGGAAAGAATGCCTCAGATCATGTTATTTCATGTTGGAAACAAATTAAGTTACATGTAGACTGACTACTTGGTCAAGGAAGGTGACAATTTCCGTGGATCTGAACCTCACTCACTCCTAACACCTGACAATTCAGTAACATTACAATGAATGTCGCCATTATTTTTACCTCTTCAACGCTGCGATGGAAGACGGCGGAGACCCGCAAGCGCGTCATCTGCTCCTGCCCCACGGTCTGCAGCTTCTTCCAGGAGTGCCAGAGGTTCTGAGACAGCTGCCGGTTGCCTTCGGTGGGCAGCTTGCAGGACTGTCTGAGGGCCAGGGCAGCGCTCAGCAGCTGACATCCGTACTCATACGTTCCCTACACAAATAATCGAGGCGAAGCTTCGTAACCATCCCCACGGGGCCAGATTACTCTTTGAGAAGTGGACAGAAATTCACCGTCTTTTAAAAACTCTATCCTGAGCTACTAGAACGCACTCTGCAGCCTCACACCTCAGTTCTTTAAGATCCATTTTATTATTAACTTCTAATTCCCACAGGGATCTCCAAAGTGGTCTCTTCTCTTAAGATTTAAAATTTGCAATTATACGTGTATATGCGTTTCTTATCTGCCAATGCATGCAACTCCTTTCGTCCATGTCTCCCCTGGTTTCATTACCATAGCGGTATGTCCTACAATCGCCTTGTTCCTCTCTCTCTCTCTCTCTCTCAGATGTAAATCTTCCTCCGAACTCTGCTATCAAAACATTCAATCTAAGTTCTTCCCTTAGACCGAAAGACAAATTTGCACACATATACAAAACAGGAGATAAATTTCAGTTTTAGTATATTTTAATCATAGGGTTTGTAGATAGGACACAGAAATACAAGTTGACTGTGACATGAATGGAAGCAGATATTCTGCGCATTTAATCTGCTCTTAACTTCTTCGTGAACGAATATTTATAGTTACTATAATTTGCAGATACTGGAACTGTATCACATATTTGGAGAATTTGTTACCTCTTTTTATAATATAATCATTTTCCGCTAGAAACCAAGAACATTCGTACGAGGGTGGATGAGCCAGTGGGTCGACGTAGGCGTGTTAGAAGTACTGAAACTCTACCCCTGCCGGGAACCGAAACCCGTTCTTCCGTACAATATCCAGGGGTTTCGAAATTGAATTAAATTTTTAGAAGGAGGGTTTTCTCCTAGATGACATACTTACTCTTTTTTGTACCGGCCTCCGTAGTCTAGGGGTAACGTTCCCACCTCATGACTCAAGGTACGCGGGTCGTGGAATTTTTAAGGGCGGAAAAATTCAGGGAACAAGTCCTCCGGGAGGGACTTTAAGCCGTGTGTCCCGTATCGTAGATTTACGGCACGTAAAAGATCCTCATGTCTCTAGGGGACCTTTGAGCAAAATTAGGCAAAGTTTCCCGCCCAAGTAGTTTCCAATTCCTCCGGTAGATGGGGAAATATCGGGGACCACTGCCAGAGAGGTGGCCGACCTCGCTGGCTGAATGGGGCTGATAGCGAGCACCAGTACCGGAAGGGCATGGCAGCTGGTAGAATATCAAAGGGGGACGTACAATAGACTATTAGTCGCGGTGCATGGGGAAACCCACCCCCTCCAATAATAATAATAATAATAATACTCTTTTCTGTATGAAAAAGTGTTTTGGCATGAAAAAATCGAGAGAACCCAAAAATCGAAGACAGGGACCTCACACACAGTGCTATTTTTACACAGAGAAAACAAATAAAAATCAAAAGAAAACAGATGGATTTTCTGTGTTCTGCTAAGAACAGTTATAAAGTTCATGTGCTATTGTTACTGCAGATTCTTCCAATAACGAGCAGTTCGATTCGCATGGCGATGCAACGAGGCACGCGTTTCGTTTTGGGCAATGAAGAGTGAAAACTGAATTTCGGATAAGCGCGCTGATGCGAATACATTAAAATGTACTCTGTAAATCAACGGCATTATCCAGGAATTTGTCTTCACTTTTTTTTCCTACTTGCAATATACTTTTCCTAAAATCTGCTACACCACGATATTCCATTCACTGTACCTACAGGGTCAAAGTTGAGTTGGAAAAGTGAGAAGCCAAGTATTATGAAGTTAATGTGCAGTGCTGCTTACATGGCTCTGTTTCCTGAAACTTAACATTTTGACGGGAAGTTAGTATTCTATGAAGTATTTGCACACTTAGGAGTTAATACCTTTAAAACAATGACAGGCACATTGTTAATTAGGGCCTAATAAGCCTTGAGTTCACATGTCCTTTTGCTACAGAAGTAGATTCACTTGTAACCAGGTTTAGTAGGCTTACATGTCACATCAGTATTCATTATACGTGGTGCTATCCAAAAGTTCCAGAAGTATATTAATAAAAACTATTACATCTTACCTAGATCTTATTCTGCACCACCCCCTTCAAAGTAGTCCCCTTGGGAGCGCATGCACCGATCCCAGCGTTTCTGCCTGCCACTTTTCAAATGCATCCTGGAAGTCTTTCTTTGTTAGGGTGTTTAGTACCGTCTGCGTTTCCGCTTGAATTTCCTCAACTGTATCAAATCTTCGCCCCTTCAACTTTATTTTCATCTTGGGGAAGAGAAAGAAGTCGCATGGAGCTAAGTCTGGCGAGTACGGTGGGTGGGGAACAACTGCCATCTTGTTTTTAGCCAAAAATTCCTGCACAATGTAAGCCGTATGCGGTTGTGCGTTGTCATGGTGGAGTACCCAGTCGTTCGTGCGCACTTCTCTGGACGTTTTCTCCTCATGTCCTCCCTCAAACGCCTTAGAACATCGCGATAGAACTCTTTATTGACTGTCTCTCCAGGAGGGACGAACTCCTTATGAACAATCCCGTCAATATAAAAAAAACAGATCAACATGAACTTAATGTTGCTCTTGACTTGTAGGGCTTGTTTTGGCCGGGGTGAAGAAGGGCTCTTCCATTGCGATGATTGCTGCTTGCTTTCAGGTCACAGCCATAAACCCAACTTTCGTCACCAGTGACAACCTTCGAAAGAAAGTTTGGATCCTCTTGAAGCTGCTGTTGAAGTTCCCTGCAGACTTCCAAGCGATGCTGCTTCTATTCATTTTGCAGCAGTCGTGGCACAAACTTCGCCGCAATCCTCCTCATGTTCAGTTCCTCTGACAAAATTCGTTGACATGTACCATAACTTAGTCCCAAGGTGTTACAGAAGTCTTGGATGGTTAGTCTACGGTCTTGCAGAATCAGATTGCTAACTTTCGCGACATTTTCTGGTGTGCCAGTTGACGGCCGTCCCGAACGATCATCATCATCAGTCGATGTTTGGCAATTTTTGAAGCGCTTATACCAATCGTAAGTTTGTGTCTGGCCTAAACTGTTGTCACTAAAAGCCTGCTTCAACATTTGGTACGTTTCTGCAGCGGGTTTTCCCAAGTTTAAAACACAACTTTATTCAGACACGCTGCTCTCTCAGGTCAGCCACCGCAAAACCGCAGACTCATTGTAACCGTACGCACCCTTCACGGAGGTATCTTATCTGTTTATGCTTGGCGATTGGGTTTGGCTGTGGAAGTGAGATGCCCCGGAGGGTTCATGGTCCTCTGAACTGGCCTTTTGTTGCGAGGGACTGAAGGGAGGTTGGTGAGTCCATTGCATTCAAGGGGGAGTAGGTATACCTTCTTTCGTCCGTGCCTGTGGGGGTGGAGGACCTGTGGATCGAAGCTTCGAGAAACTTCTAGAAGGTGTGCAGACCGGAAGGGGTCCGTGTATTTGGTCATGAAAACCTCCCAGTGGAAAGTTCGAGATGGCTAAGAACGTGGTTTCTGGAAGCAGCAGCAGGGGTAAGGAGTCAGTTAGTGAGTGGAAGCCGAGGAGTTAGTGAGTAGAAGCCAGGGAGTGAGGGTGTTCATGTGGAACCTGTGCTAGGGGGTTAACCGATCGAGCCCGCATCCAAAAAAACGACGTAAGCGAGCCAACATCCGTGTACCCCTGGGATGTAAGACTCATTCCGCTGAATTTAGTCGAGGCATACACCGCGTGAAGTGAAGCGTGTGGGGGCGGGTGAAGAGATGGCGACCAGCGTTTGGGGCCCGAATTGTAGCGGCCGCATATAAACAAAGGACTTTTAACCACGTGCGGCTTGATAAGGATGGGTGCTTCGAAACCAGGAGTTCAAGATAGCGGCGTCTGGACAAGAAAAGTGACATCGAGCAACGCTGCGGTGAAAAGGACGAACCAGGTAACAGATCGGAAGACTTGCATCGTGAGGACAACCCGATTCATCTAGATGAGAATCAACCCCGGCGATCTTCAGGTCAGGTTGGTGGAAAGTGAAAGTGACAGAGACAGACTAGGATTGTTAATAATCAGGGAAGGTATGATTACTCGCAGATATTTGAGAAACAAAAGGGTAATCGGAGACAACAGTGAAGGTGAAATGATGGATAAGGAGACGACGCAGTTAGAAGGCGTAATTATAGGTGAGAGTGGGGGAGATTCAGAAGGAGAAATGGACATGCAGTGTGGGCAACCGACAGAAGGGGGCACAGGTGGAATAAGTGAGAGTAGGGGAGAACAACTGACGAGTGCTGACGAAAAGGGTAAAGACGACCAAATAGATATGCAAGCAATAATGTCATGTATGAAGGAGATGTTTCGGGAGAATAGGAAGGAGAGCAATAAAAGAATGGAG